GTGCTCACCAGACAGAATCGGTCTGGCCCAAATGAGTTTAAAACTCATATTTCATCAAAGTAGGAATTAAAAAAAAATTATCTGTATGTTTATTTCAAGACAGGAGCTTACGTTAAATATTTTAAAAAAGGATTTTGAGTCATAACGTCTAGTTTCCCAATTTTCAAAACATTTTAAGAGATCTAACCAATTTTGAAGATAGATATAAACAATTTTACACTAATGTGTATATAACTAACTTTAGACCACGACCACTGTATAGTGGCACTATTCGGACACTTGATTATTCTTTTAAAATTTATTTCGCATTATAAAAGCAGATATTATGCAAAAATTGAATGAACTTTTTAAAGATTTTACTAAAAGTTAGTAGCTTTTTCACATTCTAAAGTTTGTTCCCTTTAGACAATTAAGGATTATTTTGGCGGTGAATGTGAATGATTTGATGAATAATAATAAGATTCCACCAGTGGAAATCTGATCAACATCATATTAAAATGAACTAGGTACAAAGTGCAATCTTAGTTGACGTCAAGATCCGTTTAGCATCGGTAAGGGGGAAAGAAAGATTCTGACTTACAATCACAAAAAGAACGTACAACTAAGCTTAGTCGATGTAAGTTAGCTCAGATTAGTGGTAAAAAAAAAGCGACTATTAATAAAAAGAAAAGTAATCCAGCTAAAACAAGAATTATGGCTACTGTCTTTAATAATGATATGTTGCCAGTACTAGTAGAATGTTAAGTGTTGAGTTATCTTCTTCAGGCAATGGATGTACGTATGTATAATTTAAAATGTTTGGTTAATTATTATTATGTTTAATGTGTTTTTGCAGTTAATGAACATATATCTACTACTGAAGCAGATAATGAAGATTTGTGTGCTGCTGAAGAGCTTTGCTTAATTTACAAAACTTCGTTTAGAAGCAGAAAATTGGGATCGATTGTTCAACACAAGTGAAGAGTGGTGATTTAGTTGATCCGTTTTCAAACAGAATTGTCAGTGCTAAAGAACTATCTACTTTAATAGGATTGCAATCCTTCCAGTTATTAGCCACCATTGTGGAATTCTTTGTTTCTAAAGAATAGGAAAAAGGAGATCAGTTATGTCTGTAAAGGATCAAGTTATATTTACTTTTATGAAGTTGAAAACTGATATGCAAGATATAATGTCTTATCCATTTTATTTGGAGTGAATGAAACTTTTTATCATTAAATTTTTTAACATTTTTTAATAAAACTGGTAGAAGTTCTTAGTATGGTATAATTCGGCCTTCAAAACAAGAAATATTAAATAATGTGCCTCTATGTAAGTAAGAGTACTACTTGATTGTACCGAAATCCCAATACAGCAAGCCAAATGTCTTTGTTGTAGGCTAAAAAATTACTCTGACTACAAAAAGAGGCATACTATTAAAATATTGACTGGAGTGTCACCTACTGGTCTCATTACTTACAAAAGTGAAGCATATGGTGGTAAAACTTCAGAAATAGACATTTTTTAACAAAGTTCAATACTTGAAGTGTGTGAATCATTTCTCGATAGTAACATGTTTAACAAAGGTTTTCTTATTGGAAACATAACAGAAGCTGAAGGTATACAAATTATACAGCCTCCTTTCCTCAATAAAAAAAATCAGTTCAGCCATCAAGAGGCTTTACTTAATGCCAAAATTGCCAGAGCTAGAATTCACATAGAAAGAACCTATCAAAGAATAAAAGTGTTTGTCTCTCTGTATTGGTACTTATGTCCGTTTTTCTTCTATTTATATTGTTTTTATTATACGATACTTCTCTGTATCTAACTAAATTTTAAAATGTACTTGTAAAGCCCAGATAGCTCTAACTCGGGCCTTTGAATATAATAATATTTATGTAATTGTATTTACTTTAAATACTTATTATTAATATTATTATTATAATTAATTATAATTCATAACATTATTATAAACGTATTTACCTTGTACCTACTTGTATTGATACTTGCGTGAAAAATGAAATGTTACTTTTTATATTTCTTTAGCTGGTCTTACAACCCTTTATAGAGCAATTCGCCATTTAAATTTAAAAACAAAACAAGATTTTATACTCAAATAGTTAAAAAATTTAAAACAGAACATAAGTATAATTAAAACTAAATAAAATAAACAACTCAACAAAATGTCCGACTGAGTAATGACAATGAGAACAAAATCTCAACTAGACTAAACTTTCTTTAAAACCGGTCCTGTGAAAGTTTTGTTTACCAGTGAGCACTCAAAATTGAGACAAAACACAAACATTGCATGCACTGGACAAAGAGAAAACATCTCCCAGTTCGACCCGCTTTTCATCGTTTTATTTACGTATGGATAAGCAGTCTATTTAAACTATATATGTCATTGGTCGCAAAACACTTACCCGAGTTTCACTTCTCAACACTGACAGGTGTCGCCATCTAGCGGAGACTTTTGGAACTGTGCGCCAGTACTGGCCTAGCATATCTACTAATACTGCAAAACTATGTTCAGACTTTCAACCCATGTTTACATACAATTTTTGACCTATTTTTATGAGCAATATATGCTGCTGAAGTTATTACCGTTATTGAAATACGCTTTATCAACCGTAATCTAAAAAAAAATATGGCGAAAAATATGTTATAGAGGACACTTTTCAACATTTTTTGTTCTAGGTTTTTATGATTATTTTTCTTATTGAGCTCCATTGACCGGCCTGAAAGTCTAACGAATATATTATATTTACAAAAACTTTTGGTAACTAAATATTAAGTCCTAGATATACAAAAATTATCTTTGGTACTTTGACTCTACAGTGATCTTACTATAAATGTGCTACTATTTAAAAAAAAAGCAAAAACAACGTAACCATTTAAACAATCTTCACTAAAACGAAGCGTAACAATAATTTTCCATAAAATAAATTATCGATTACTTTTGAAATGGTCGACCACAGCCATTTTGTTTTAATGTTTTTTTTCTCTCGTGTCGTAACTTTGAATGTACATTAACTAATTTCCCATTCTACATAATATTCGAAAATAAATATTTCGAAACATATATTTCTTTAAATAAAGAAAATAATCAGATCTAATTAAACTATCTAAATGTTATTGCCCAATCAGATCTTCCCACTGAGATCTAACCAATTAAAAAAAATGTTCTTTCGTATTACTTTTGATTCCCTGACTGTTCTCAATAAATATTGTTGTTTTTTATTTTGTTTTAAACATATAGATACGGAAATCTAAATGCGGAAGGTATAATAGGATCACGCGTGAAACAAACAAAGATTCCTAATATTATCTGCGTTTAAATTTCTTAATTTATATATTATATAGGTATTACAGTCGTACATATCACCTATAATGAATTAATTTTTATAAACTTTAAAACGATTTTGTTTTCAAATCCAGAAAAAACGTATAAAAAACTAAAAAATATATATTCGACCATTCTAATGAAAAGGCGTTTTTTCATTTATTTACAATATGGATGACTGTTCTTTTCTTTTTTAATTTTCCAAATTTTAAAAATATTTTTTTGGAATGTATCCTACATTTTTATAAAATAGTGAAACTAAATTTTCATCAAATGACGTTCATTAACATTCATGTGTTTCTTAAAATTTTACAGACTATAATAGATTGCAGTGGCGGCTTGTAACCAAAATATTAGGGGTTAACAATAAATCTCTAAATTTTAATTTGTGCCACTTTATGATTAAAAGTGCGATGTGTTTTGATTTTTCGTTTGTATTATTTTATTTTTATTTTTTTACTATTATTAAGGTTTATATTTTGATTTCACGATTTAACTTGCTAAATATTATATTAGTGACTATACGATAAAATATTTTTGTTAAAAAATGTCTTTTTAAAATATAGGGGAGGCGTTTTTATAGAGGGCACCAATTAATTAATAACGAGTATTTTATATAAAAAAAATTTTGAAAATCGTAACCTCGCGTTTTGACACACCCTATATACAATACAACATAGCAAATAAATAAAGTCAACTACTTGCGTTAAAAAAGTATAGCTTTGGTCAGTATCTCGTTTATGGACCACCCTGTATATTTAAGAATAATTGGTAAATATGCTCTTACAACTTTTACATTAAAAATTTCTTTACCAATAATACAACAGCTATTGATCAATTACGCACTGATGGAACACCCTGTATATATGTTATTGGCTAGCATCTTGATATCGTTGGATAGACAAATTTAAAAGGAATTGTATACTAAAATAATATACAGGGTGTTGCATTTGAAAAATTGAGTAAATTGAATTTAAAATTAGCTATATTTAAGACATATTTCAAAACACTCTGTATAAAATAAATCAGATCTATCACCACTATTCTCTATCTTAGTATCTTATAAGTCTGTAGATTAAACAATTTTGAAATCAATCAAAATCTACATAAATTATGATAATTTAATTTGGAGTCTGCATCATTCTCTAATTTCATAAAAAAAATTAATTGCTTGGCAACCTTGTAATGTTTTTTAAAAAAATTCTAGGATTAAATATAGTAATATCAAATCATTCTAAAAATGAAATTTAAAAAATATACATTTTTATTTGCCAAGCATAAAAGCAACACCCTGTATGTTCAAAAATATTTTTAAAATATGTATTTTTCAAATCCATATAACTTTTTATTTGAAACTTGTTTGTATAATATATATTGAACAATTACGCACTAATGGGACACCCTATAGATTTGCAAGAGCCCTAATATGATGTACCCTTTTTTACTTATGTAGAATTTAGAGATTTTTTCATCTTCGTAGCGTTACATGTATATGTAACTGCAGTTTTCTTAAAAACAAAAATTCATTTTTAAAAAACGTCTTCCAAATTACATTAAATCCAATAAAAATCAAATTTTCGAAAAATAATAATATTCAGTAGCTTAAGGGTTAATTTAGTTCCTAATTCCTATGTATTATTTTGACCAATTATTCATCAATAGTATCATGTAAAGTATATATGAATCTATACTGCATACCTTCAGTCACTTTTAAAAACCTGATACTGTAATAATTGTAAAAACTACAATTTTTATACCAATTTTTAAAAATAATAAAATAAAGCAGCAATGCCAAGAATACTGCAAACTTTCCAAAACATTTTAGATTTTCTTTTGAATATCTTTTGAAGAATTTAAAATGATGAAAACCGACAAACATCAAAGTATTTTGACCAAGTTAAATATTTTTAAAATTAATCGGAACAGCCATCCAAAATGTAATATCCTACTGTCAGGGAATCATACTATGTATTAATTCTATCTATAAACAATATATACAATGTGCTACAAGAAATAGTTAATAATTATGAGGAAAGTGACACAACAGTAGGTCTGTCAACACAATGATCGCCATTAATTATTACTTTGGTGTTGTTGTTATTGTTGTTGTTGAGAAGAGAGTTAGTTTCACTGTCTGATTCGTTAGATGGTGGACTGGGACTCGGCTGTTGAAGCATCGTTTCGTAGTAGTGAGACTGCGTGGTGAGTTGAGGTGACTGAGAGTGATATGTAGGACTCAATCTATGATGCGCTTGAGTGGTGTAAGAAGCATAACTAGTTGTTGAGGGATGCTGGAGCTGGTTGAGCGATGTAACTGTCCTGAGTTCGTTGTAATTATCTGTAACAGAATTTTACTTCATTACGAATTTCCAAAATTTAGAAAGAATAGAGAATGTTTATTATTGTCATGAAATTCCTAAGTTCGACTCTGTCTAAGCACGCGGCCTTCACGTCTGTGGTGGCCGACTCATCGGCGCACAGTTTAGTATAGGGCATTGTAATGAAAAATTAAAGTGTAATAAATAAATTAGAATTGTTAGTTAGTGTATTATATAAATTAAATAGTACGTCTGAAATAAATTGTAAATAGTGTGTTTCAAATAAATAAACTATAAATAAATTAGCTATCGTCACATTATACAGGGTGTCTGTAAAAGGTCTTTACAAAAATATACCACATATTCCTTAGACCAAAATAAGTCGATTTAAGTAAAATTGCCTTAGTACAAAGTTGCTTCGTTTGGGGTCCAGAGGGCCTTGAAGTTACAATTTTTAAATCGTTTTTCCCATATAAATTTAAAACGACATATGCGATTTTGCTAAAATTTGGTATATTGGTAGAGTTTTATGTGGCAAAAAAAATGGTATTAAAATTTTGTCCGATAATAATACATAGGCGTAGAACTTGATTTTTTAAATAATTGCACCTTTAAAAATTCTACGCCAATGGAAGAAAAGGAGTTTGAGTATGAAATTTAGATTGCGCAACTCATTTACGTTAAAAAAGGTACTCTAGATAAGACTCGATTACTCTCATGGTTTTCGCTAAATTTCTGTTTTAATAATTTAGAGTGTATAGGTTTCACAAAAATATTTATTTACAACATAATCAAAATAGAGATTTTACAAAAATTGTTCAAAATGTTCACCATTTTCACGCATACAAAGATTTATACGTCGAAGAAAATTAAAATGTATCCTTTCCATAACTTCTTCATCACCTCTAAGATTGTTTATTGCATCTTGAATACGTTGCCAGAGTTGTTCCTCATTTTCTACAGGTTCCCTGTAAACTGTGGATTTGAGATGTCCCCATAAAAAGTAATCCATCGGTGTTAGGTCTGGGGAACGTGGTGGCCAGTTTACAGGTGGGTCATTACCTCTGCCTATCCATTTGTGTGGATATTGTTCATTCAAGTGGTTTCTAACGTTTAAAGAAAAATGTGGTGGAGCTCCATCTTGCATAAACCACATATCTCTCCGAAGTTGGAGAGGTAAATCTTCTAACAATTCTGGCAACGTATTTTGTAAAAAATACAAATAATTTTCTCCAGTTAATCTTCGTGGAAGTATGACAGGACCAACAATGAAATTACCAAATTATTCCAGCCCACACATTAATTTTGAATTCGTGCTGAAAATGGTTTACCTTTATTGCATGCGGATTTTCAACGGCATAAACATGTTCATTATGGGTATTAGTTATACCTCTTCTTGTAAAACTCGCTTCATCGGTAAAGAGAACCTTCTTGACAAAGTTTGGATCTCTTTCTCTTTGCATATTAACAAATTGACAAAAACCCAAACGAATTTGAGGATCATGGACTATTAATTCTTGTACTGGCTTCTTATGGTATGGATATAGCAATTGTTCTCTAAGCACTTTATGAACGACATCTTTACTTACTCCTAGTTCCCTTCCAATTCGTCTGGTGCTTAATTCTGGATCTTCTTCAACACGTTCTAAAATGTCTTCTTCAACTTCAGGAATCCTTACAAAACGTTCTCTTCCATTATCAACAGTGTTGGGAGCAAAAGAACCCGTCTCCCGAAGAAGTCTCTGAACAGCAGCAAAAGTTGGGTGGCTAGGTACACGACGATTTGGAAACCTTTCAGAGTACACCCTGACACTCTCTCGAGCATTTCCTTCACAAAATCCTAATGTCAGTAACATATCGGTATATTCTGCATTGGTATATTGTACAGCCATATTAATAAACCACGCATTTGTTTTTTTAATTATTGAGTCAGATAGAACACTTTCATTCAATCGTTAACAAGAGATTAGGTGTTAAAACTTGACAATATTTTTATTTAGATGAAACTATTGAAACCAACAATAAATGTTTTTGTATACGTATTACAGGCAAATAATTAATATTCCTCAAAAAAATCGTACATGGCAAGAATCGAGTATTTTTGTTAGAAGTCTCGATTAGAGGTGTTGAAGAAGATATGAAAAAAGTACATTTTTATGTTTTTCATCGTATAAAATTTTGTCCGATAATAATACATAGGCGTAGAACTTGATTTTTTAAATAATTGCACCTTTAAAAATTCTACGCCAATGGCAAAAAAGGGGTTTGACTATGAAATTTGGATTGAGTACTCATTTACTACAAAAAAGTACCCTTGATAACACTCGATTTACTCTCATGATTTTGACAAAGTTTGTATTTTAATAATTATTGTTTATGTTCTAAAATTACTAAAATGCAAATTTCGTCAAAACCATGAGAGTAATCGAGTCTTATCAAGAGTACCTTTTTTAAAGTAAATGAGTTGCGCAGTATAAATTTTATACTTTTCCTTTTCTTCCATTGGCGTAGAATTTTTAAAGGTGCAATTATTTAAAAAATCAAGTTCTACGCCTATGTAATATTATCGGACAAAATTTTAATACCATTTTTTTTGATACATAAAACTCTACCAATATACCAAATTTCAGCAAAATCGCATATGCCGTTTTAAATTTATTTGGGAAAAACGATTTAAAAATTGTAACTTCAAGGCCCTCTGGAGCCCAAACGAAGCAACTTTGTACTAAGGTAATTTTACTTAAATCGACTTATTTTGGTCTAAGGAATATGTGGTATGTTTTTGTAAAGACCTTTTACGAATAATCTTATAGATATTATGAAGAAGAAAAAAGAAAGTTACTAAACCAATTTATAAAACTAAAAAAATAAATGGATCATGAAATTATGATCCTCAAGTAAAAACTAATTTTGTAAAAATTGTTTTTCTTTTTAAATAATTGTCTATAGCGTTATCAGAAAATGTATTCAACCGAGTATTCAACCGTATAGACAATTATATTACAAAATTAACATAATGAATGTATATTTAAAATTACCTTAAAATTAAAAGCCAGTTTCATCTTCAAATTAAAAAATATTTTTGGTTAGGTAAACCTAACTTAAAAATATTTATAAACTTAATAAAAACTCACCTAAACTTGCATGCTCTAATTTTACTCCAACATCTTCCATTTTTATTGAGGCTAGTGATGTATTAGTGAGATTTCTTGGAATATGTGCTGTGTTAGCATTAGTCTCTTTACTTCCTTTGGGTTTTCGTTTTCTCGTCTGAAAATAACAATCAATTCTTATTATTAATAATAATAATAATAACAATATAGCAATTTTGTGAAAAAAATACAAAAGTTTTTAATAAAAGTAAAACTAATAGTAACGATATTCCAAATATCTATGGCATAATTAATTTTTCGAAACCAATTTCATAATGTTCAACATTATGCAACTGTAGATCAGTTTGACACTTGCTGCGATTACAAATAGTGTCACTTTATATGTCAAAAATTTAAAAAAAATGTTTTTCGAGAAGTAAAGAATGTTGGATCGATAGAAGACAATGAAAGAGATGAGGAGACATGGATGAGTACAAATGTTGAAGATGTAGTTATAGAAGAAGAACAAGAAAAAGAAAGATTGGAACAGAAGATACTATCGAATGATGAAGGATATTGTAGGAAGAAATGCAAATAATAGGAAACAAAATGGAGAAGAAAATAGACAAAAATAGCAAGAAAATGAAGAAGCAAAAGGACAAATTAAAAGATTACAGAAAGAAGGATAAAAAAGAGATTATTGATAAATTATAAAAGATAAAGGAGAAGCAATTTAGAATATAGAAGATATTATAGAAATAAATAGAAAAGAAACAAAGAAAATAAAATAATAAATATGTAAATTATATGATTAATAAGGTTAATAAAAACTAACCTAAAGTCGTCCGTACCCAAGTTTAGAATTAATTAAAGAAAAACAATAATATATAGGAGTAGAAGAAGTTGAAATAAACAGAAATTGAAGAAGTAAATGTAGAAGTAGAAGATAAAATTAAAATTAAAATTGAAGACGAAGAAAGTAATGAAGAAAGGCAAATTCAAAATATAGGATGAAAGGTAAATAGGAAGTTAAGAAGAAAATGAGAAAAAAAATTGCCTTTAGCCATTCCTTTTTGGCAAATTTTTTTGAATAAAAGGCCCATAAACAAACAATTTGAGAAATTAGATATGAAAAATGGCCAGGTAGTCAAATTTTATAGAAATAGTATATTACATGAGTATAGAAAGTGACATTTTTCACACGAATGGGAAATATTACCGCACGAGGTATAAGCCAAGTGCAACAATCATACGAGTGTGAAAGTCACTTTTACACAGTGATGTACAATATTTTTCCTACGATCTCAAAAAATGTAAAACTAGGCAATTTGGCTATGAAGGTTTCATCAAGATGTGGCTGGTTTTAGATTTTTTTATGCTTTATTGAATAATTTTTAAAGCGTTCTACAGATAGTGTTTTGTCACAATTAAAAATATTGTGATTCCATTTACAAACAATTTCACGGGATGATAAAGATAAAATAACATAAGATACAAAAAATATTAGAATACATTAATGTTTTTCATTTTTCTTTTTTAAAAAAATAAGTTGAACAACCCTGAACAAAAACTTCTTTATTATTAATGATTACCTATAGTAATAAAAATAATACAAAATAAATAGTGAAAAAATATTATATGGATTATATTATAACAAATAACGTGTATTTAAAATAAACAACAATAGTCGTAGTTTTCCAATTTTCATATTTTTTCACAAAACAAAAAAAATAAAATAAAAGAATTCAGCGGGAATTGAACCAGCGTCACGAAATGGTCGCGAAATGCGAGGTTGAAAAATTAAGACACTATACGAACTGTGCTATCACGGTTTTGTCATTTGACTTATTACATTAAATATGTATGTATATGGAGCAGGAAAAATTATTTTAACAATTTTTTAAAAAGAAATATTTAAAAATTAATGTTAACAATTTAATCATCAAATTTATATTCACACCCGGATAGAAAGTTGATGTATCCACACGCGCGCGATATAGGGCACTTCCCATAACACTAAATAGTACGATAAGTGTCACTTTCCTAAGTGGTCGTAAAAAAAATTATTTTTCCTACGACCACTTAGGAAAGTGACACATATCACACTATAAAGTCCTATGGAAAGTGCCCTATATCACACGCGTATGAATAACAATTTACTTTCCACCCGAGTGAGAATATGTTACTTTCCGCAGTAGTTGTTACAAAATGTCAAACACCTAATTTCTATTTTGATCTATGTAATGTCCATAATAATACTAAAATCGATATGATTGTTAAATTATAGAAATTGTTGTAAATTAGATCCTAGATATTTATCTTTAACAATTATTATTAAAATAATTTTAAAATAATTAAGATATTGTTTGCTTTTTATTCTGGTTAAACATATAACCGATTAGATCACTCAATTGACGAAAGGCCTGTTAGCTCAGTTGGTTAGAACATCAAACTATTGTGATATTCTCGTAGTTAAATTAATAGTTGGGTTTTTTATAAAGATAATCAATAAATAAAAACCAACCGTTCAATTGTAAGTATCATTTTATTGTTATATTTCAAAAGACCAAAAGGAATGCACCTACATAATATTGTTGATATATTAATTAAATATAATAACTAAACATAAATATAATTTGTCTAAAAAGCAAACAATGAATTACTTAACCTACTTAAATAGAATATACATACAGGGTGATACTTGCATATCACACCTCCCCCGTAAAGAAAAAAAAATCAAATTCACCTGAAATTGTTTTTTTTTTTTTTTTTTTTCAATTTGTGCTATTATACGGTTTTACCCTATTTTTGTGTACTTCTAACTTTTTATTTCCTACATCAATAACTACATTTACTACTTTATTTTCTAAAATTTTATATGGACCTTTGTAAATTGGTTCTAACTTAGAACTGGTCTCATCATAAAGCAAAACATTGTCACCTATTTTATAATTTCTCTCCGTGGCTGATTCATCATACCTAATCTTTCTTTTAATTTTTGATGAAACTAAATTTTTTCTTGCATCTTCTAATGCTACCTGTAACCTATATTTTAATTCTATCGGATAATCGTCAAAATTATATAAAGGCTCAATTTTTCCAATTAAATTAGATGGTAAAATACATGTCTTTCCAAAAACTAATTCGTAAGGCGTATAACCTGTGGCCGAATGAACCGACGTATTATACGAAAAACACCAAAAATGTATCCAAGAACTCCAAGATTCTTTGTACTTAGAAATTTGAATTCTTAGATAAGCATTTAAGTGTTTATGGGTATTCTCCAAAGCTCCGATTGTTTCATGGTGATAAGCTGTTGAGTTTAGCTTATTAATTTTTAGTAACTGACAGGTTTCAATAAAGACATTCGCCATGAACTCACTCCCTTGATCTGTAACTACCCTTTTTGGAATTCCATAGCGTAAAATGAAATTTTCTACAAATGATTTAGCCACAGTATTGGCTTCCTTGTTTTGAATAACATACCCTTCTACATATTTACTCAATTCACACTGTAATGTTAATATATATTTATTATTATCACAATCTGTTTCTAAGGGACCTACGAGATCTAAAAAAATTGTTTCGAATGCAGCATGTGCCGTTGTTGTAATAATTAAAGGTTCTTTAGATTGCGTAATATGCTTACATTTTTGACAGTCGTTACAACGATTAACGAATTTTTCGACATCTCTTCTTAAGCCTGTCCAAAAATAATATTTTTTTATATTGTTGTACATGCGGTTTATACCTGCATGACCACCTGTTGGTAACATATGAAAGTCGTTTAAGATTATTTGTTGCAAATCTTTATTTTTAATGCATTGTTTATCTTGCAATACACATATTTTAATTCCTTCTTTTTTGAATATATCATTGTCCCTTACTAATTCGCTTATAACTGGCCAGTTAAACTTATTTTTAAGTATCAGCAATTCTGATATTTTATTTTGTGTACACATTTTTACCAAGTCTCTCAACGATGCACCGAATGCTAACGCTGATAAAGAATCTTGATTTAAATAAATATTTTCATTATCAAACAATATATTGTTTGTTATATAATATTCGGGACATTTTTTTCGTAACTCTTGAAATTTTATATTTTCCATAATTTGCAATTCAACGCCATCACAAGGTCGTTTCAATAGTTCTACAACGCCAGGTTGATCAGTCCTGCCATTATTAGGATTATTGACATCTTGCTTGGATTTAGCTGATTGCGCCCTTGTCATTACAAAAGCTTCTTTATCTTTTGATATATTTTTTAACTCGTTTGAGCTAATTTCTATGCGAGATAATGCATCTGCCGTTACGTTTTCTGAGCCCTTTACATAAAAGACATCAAAATCGTATTCTTCTATTTTTAATCTAAATTTAGTTAACCTACTGGATGGATTTGCCATACCAAATAGATAAATTAATGGTCTATGGTCTGTCAAAATAGAGAATACTCTATTATAGAGGTATGCTCTAAATTTAGAAATAGCCCAGACAATAGCTAGTAATTCTTTTTCAATTACAGCATAATTTCTTTCAGCTTTATTTAATACCCTACTAGCATATGCTATTGGTTTATCATTGCCATTTGACAGTGTCGCCCCAAGTGCTATTCCCGAAGCATCTGTCCTTAATATAAATTTATTTTGTTCCGAAAAGTCAGGAAATTCTAAAATTGGAGGACTTACTAAAGCTGATTTCAATTTTTCGAAGGAACATTGACATTCCTTAGACCAATTAAATATAACTCCTTTTTTTGATAATTTATTGAGGGGAGCAGCCAGTTCCGCAAAATTTTTAATGAATTTTCTGTAGTAATTTGCAAAAGCAACAAATCGTTTTGTTTCACCGGAATTTTTAGGTACCGGATAATTCAGCATAACGTTTATTTTTTCGGGATCTGGCGCAACACCCTTTTCAGAGATTTCATGACCTAAATACAATAATTCTTTTTTTAAAAATTCACATTTTACTGGATTTAACTTAAGGTTTACCTTTCTTAGCCTTTCTAACACTCTGATTAAGTTTTTATTATGTTCCTTAAGATTATTACCAAATATAATTAAATCATCGAGATAAATAAAGCAAGACTCATAATTTAATCCCGACATAGCTAACGTCATCGCTCTAGAGAAAGCATTTGGAGAAATTTTTAGCCCCATGGGTAATCTGGTCATCTGATATTGTGCTCTATCAGTTGTAAATGCGGTAAAAGACCTAGATTCTCGATCTAACTCTATCTGATAGTAACCTTGATATAAATCTAAATGTGAGAAATAAGTTGCACCTGATAGAGAGTCTAATATTTCATCAATATTAGGTAAGGGAAACCTATCGCATTCAATTTTGTTATTAAGTTGCCTATAATCTATAACAACCCTCCATTGGTTTTGTTGATCAGTTCCCTTTTTCTTAACGATTAAAAGAGGGGACGACCACTCAGATGCAGCCGGCTCTATGATACCTTTTCTTAACATTTTATCTAACTGATTATGTATCTCACTTTTTTGTGAATAGGGTAATCTATAGGGCTTTACATATGAAGGAGTTGTCCCGTTTTTCAAATGAATTTTTTGTTGAGAAATGTTAGAAACGGTAAAGGGATCGTTTTCGATATAAAATGTATCTGCATATTTTGCACAAATTTTATCTATTGACAATTTCTCCTCTTTATTAAGAGATTTAGTATTTATTGTATTTAATAATCTGTCTACTCTATCTACCGTTATAGGTACCCTACTAAAAGAATGTACATTATAAGAAAATAATTGTTCTATTTTCGGTTTAAAATTCTTTAATTTAATTTCCCTATCATTCGTATTTAAAATACGTATCGGAATTTTATTTCCAATTGGCTTGACTACTGTACTAGCGGTCATTACTCCGTCACAAATTTCCTCTGAAATTGCAATATATTCTTCTGAATGATTAACATTAAAATACTTAAGAATTTCGCACCTAGCAGGAATAATAGTATATTCGTCATAATTAGCGTACAATGGTATTTCTATTTTTGCATCTTTTATTACAAGTGATAAGAAAAAATGTTCATAATTTATATTAGCTTTATATTTAATAAAAATATCTCTTCCGATTACACCGTCAATTTCACTTGAGAATTCATGTAATACCGAAAATTCATGATTCAGCTTATACCCATTGTGTAGGTCAAGATTAACATTGCAAGTTCCCGCTGTATATGCTGATCCTGCAATGCCTTGTATTTTTACTGTTCTATTTTTATTTATATCACTTTCATCTCTTACACATCTACTAAAAATGACACTCAGTGACGCTCCCGTGTCAATTAAAAATCTTAATTCCTTATTGCAATAACCTACTTTAATAAAATTTAATCCATTCATATTAAATAAAAATTCAAAATTAGTGTTCCCGAAAAAACTGCATATTTTCCCGATTTTCTAATTGTTGATTCTCAGTTTGTACGTTATTTGTCATAAAGTAGCCATTATGCCGAGGGAAATTATGTCTGCCAGCCCTAAAGACTTGTGCTCCTCTGTTTCCTCTACCTGAATTATTATAATTATTATTATTTCTACCTCTATTATTGTAATGGGTGAAATTATTAGTTCTATAGTCATTATTTCTAGAATCAAAGTTATATCTATTGTTATTTCTAAAATTATTTCTGCCTCGATGGTTAAAAGTATTACCTCGTCTAATATTTGAATTACCTCGCATATGGAAAATTTGTGAAGGACCTGTTTTTCTAATTGTTTCTTCATCTCTAGCCCCTACTATAGCATTTGCTAAACTATTGTAATTCCTAGCCTTAATAATTGTTTTAATTTGCTCATCCTTAAGCCCATTAGTAAACACATTAATAGCTATTTTTTCATTTACAACTGTTAGAGACCTTTCCAAAGCACTGTTACCTTCTGCTTGAGCTATTGATAAATTTATCATTAAGTCTTCAACTTTCTTTCCAAATGTTTCTATAGATTTATTGTTTTGCCTTAAACTATGTAACTCTACAGATAGTGCCGCTACTGACTTTTTAGTAATTAATTTATCCCTAATATCTCTAATAAGCTCTTCATTAGAAGCATAATTTTGATTAAGTCTAAGCTTTGCACCTTGAGACAATCGTGCTTTTAATACATATTTAGTTAAAGCATTTTTACCATTAGCGTCTAAAAAACTGTCGTATAACTCAATTGCATCGATAAGTATTTTTATGGATGACTCAGTATCATCCATAAGGGGAATTAAGCCAGAGGCCGTTTTTAAATTAAATGCTTCAGCCATTTCTCCTATTAACGAATCACTACTTTGAATTTGAAAAATTCTATTTTCTAAAATTTCCTTAATACGACTAATTAATTTAACTGTACCATCTACAATAGGTTTCGCTTTAGCTTTAATGTCTATATCATAATTACCTTCATTAAATGTATTTCTAACCAAAGTAAATTCAGTCTCTATACTATTTAACTTATCTAAATATTTATTAGTTTTTTCTAAATTATTACGTCTATCTATAGGATCTTTGCTAAGATTCCTTGAAAACACGCTAAGGTCTTCATAAATTTCTTTAAATGATTCTAGTGACATTTATATGCAATAAGTACACAAAAATATGGTAAAATAAATATTACTTACATACATTATTATATATTATAAAATCAAAAGAAAAATTTGTTCCATTTTATACATTTTTTTTTTTTTTTTTCAATCATTCCATACAGCAACTGTCCTTATATTAAATATTAATTTTCCCATTCTTCCTTCACCTAAAATGCCTAAAAAAAATAATATTTCTTCTCTCTTCCTTTAGACTATTTCCTGGGACCTAGATATCTCTCGTCTAATTTTTATTTCTATGGCTTTTCTGCATCGCTTGTACAAAACTACTCCAATAATAATTGTAACTAATGCCAACGCTACAGCTCCCATAATTTCAAAGGCCGAAACATTACCCTGGCCTGTTGAACCAGAAACGCCACCGCTATTTCCAGCTTGTGTAATAATCACCTCTTCTTTTGACTGATTAGCTCCAGCCATTATCTTCTTAATTAATAATTATATGTCCATTATCAACTAGTTCTTGAGTGGCAGGGTCGCCATGTGATATTCTCGTAGTTAAATTAATAGTTGGGTTTTTTATAAAGATAATCAATAAATAAAAACCAACCGTTCAATTGTAAGTATCATTTTATTGTTATATTTCAAAAGACCAAAAGGAATGCACCTACATAATATTGTTGATATATTAATTAAATATAATAACTAAACATAAATATAATTTGTCTAAAAAGCAAACAATGAATTACTTAACCTACTTAAATAGAATATACATACAGGGTGATACTTGCATATCACACTATCAAATTTGCCATTTGAGAGACCTGGCGAACGACCGCGTTCGAATCCTGGCGGGGCCAGAACTTTTTTTTTTTATTTTTTTTTTTTTTTATTTTTTTTTTTTTATGTTTAAAAAATATGAAAATTGAATAAATACGATTGTTGTTGATTATTTTTTTAAATACATTTTAATTATTATAATAACCTGGTTTTACATTTTTTGATGAAAATATTTTGTGGTCGTAGGAAAAATATTGTACATCACTTGTGTGAAAAGTGAATTTCCACACTCGTGTGATAGTCGCACTCGGCTTGTGCCTCGTGCGACAATATTTCCCACTCGTGTGAAAAATGTCACTTTCCACACTCGTAATGTAATATACTATAAACAATTGAATATAGCAAATCTGGGCAATTTAAAACTAGAAAAAGAAGTAGTAATTAAAATCAAGTTTGTGAATGAATGTCAGATTAGTTTGGAGATTGTTAGATAATGTTTTAGATTGTCAATCAGGGAGGATTTAAATTTGAAGAAAAGTCACGAGGGAAATATATAAAAAGGTTGATTTTAAAAGATTTATATTAATATTGTAAATAGATAAAAAAGATAACGAAATTTTATTGTACAATCATTAAGGAAAGAAGGGGGCAACGATAGGGACCGAAAAGGCATAATCAGACAAGGCGTTAGAGTAGAACTAGACAGGCAGGAAGAGAAAAATACAAACAGACAAAGCAAGAGAGCAACCGGTAGAGGAGAAAGTAGTATAAATTAAAATTGTTTTTGTATTATTAAATTGTGTAACAAATTTAATTCATATTGTAAATTTGAACCAGCTCCGTTTAGAGATTTTATTTTTAATGGGCCCGTTCACTTTCATTTTTGAATGTGAATTAATTATATATTTATAAAGATATTAAACTCTTTTGTCTGGTGGTACTTTACCCGTTAAGATATTTTTGCTAGAAGTAAGGGAATTCCCATAAAATTCTTTCAGTGACTCATTGCGTCAGAAAACCCCTAATTCCCTTCAGGACTGATGGTATCTAGTTTGTCTTTGGTTTCTTTCGAAATTTTGGTTTCAAACACTAATATAAATTATTATTCATCGCAAAATCAGTGTTCTTGATTGCCTTATTCTTATAATTAGTGACATTATGTCTTGCATTTTGTCAGTTACCCCCTTCTATAAATATGATTTTGAGAATGTCTCTATTGTTTTATTCTCCGCCTTTGTAGTTTATAAATATTTCTTTACTAAATTCTTTTTTTTGAATAGATTATATTTGATCATAAGATAGATAATCATAAATATTATGTTCCTTCATATAAAATATTCTTTACTTTTTTTACTAATATTTTCACATTAGAAACAAAACACTTACATACAACAAGAACCAGGTTTATTTAAATTTCTCGGTAATTTTTAAATAAATCAAAATAATTTAATACCTGAATACTGTCTTTCTTCATTGAAAGAGGTCTGTTGACCGAATGAAGTTTATAGTAAAGTCCACAAGCATTGCAAACGGGTTCTCCTAAAGCGTTTCTCCTCCAAAGGGAAGTAGTACTAGTATGGCAGTTGGTACACGTGAGACCAGCTCGACGAGAAGCAGACTAAAAACAGAAACAATAATATTTAATTCAAGACCATTCAAATAATTTTAATAATAATGATGATAACCATAATAATGTTAGTATTTCTATTGGGTTGTGAAAGTTATTCAAACTTTTATGATATGAGTGTGCATTTATCCAACTTCTACTGACAAACGTTTAAGCATTTAATTATTTAAATACGTTTAAAATCTAGTAAACTTTTAATAAACGAATCCAAAATTTTAACACAGAATTGCTGAATTAAAATAAAGAATTATTATCAAAAATATTAATACTCAAAATTTATAATATGAAATAAGGACTGTAGTTCTTTTAAAAACGTTTTAGCTGTTTCTTTTATACAAATTAACTTAATTAGCACAAGCCTTTTTCAGACAAGAAAAGAGTTAAATTAGCTCTTGAAAATAAACCTGCCATTAGAATTGGTAGCTAGTCAAATTTGTAGAAAGGCAATTCAAACCTATCAAAAAATATAAATCTACAAGGTAGAAGTAAATAAAATCTAAAAAATAAAAAATAGACTGAAAAGGACCAGACAGCCGGCTTATGGAGAAATGGGTTCCGGTTAATATGCCTGAATTTTTGGTATGTTGAAGATATCGACTTTCTGAACAATAGTGTCCAAGGGCACAACTCAATCCTATGGCCAGTTTTCAACATGCAGGGTGATGAAGTTGAAAAATGGCCATTTTTTAAAACGTATTAAAATGTATTTTTCTCAATATATTAAGGATTTTTTGCTGTAATAGTATTCTGATAACATCAAATCATATTGCTTTGTGTCGAAAAAGTATTATTTGATACAGGGTGATTTAAAAATCACCAAAAAAAATTATTGATGCTGTGTATTCTACTTTACAGTGGGAATATGAAAATATTAATATTTGGTCTGAATTAACTTTAGTTGGACTTATTATAAGAAGGTATAAAAACATTTTATACAGGGTGAGTCAAAAAGTTGATCGACTCTGCAGGTTACTTTTATTACAATTTTATATATTTTGAAATACAAGTCAGTAGTCGACATTGAACCATTTTCAAAAATATATAATTTATAAATTAAATACAGGGTGATTCAAAAGGTATATAAGGTAGAAAATTACGAAAATTGATTTTTTCTGCGAATCGCTCTGTAATTTAATATTTCCTCCGTTAATTTCTCTAATTCCCCCTATAGAAGTTTTGCTAAGTTACTATGATCAGTTTTTTTATATCGACTTTGTGATGACATGCCTGTCACAATGTATACGCTTACACCTGAGCTCATAAATATGTTTTTATTTTATTTAATTATTCAAGATTTATGTCATTCTAACGTTATTTGTTTAAGGAAATATAAATAATATGTAACATATTAACAAACAATGTATTAATATTATTAGTAAGCCAAGTATCCGAAGATGCAAATATGAGTTCCCCCGTTTAGATTTACACTATTTAAAGCAGCTGACTGGAATTTATTATGTAAACTCGGCAAAAAGTTATATTCAAGATAAATTTCAAAGAGAAGAAACTAATATTCTTTAATTTGACGAATTGGTGGAGGATCCGAGCATTATACGAATCCGACTGTACTCCAGATTTCGTAATATATGTAAGTATATGTTGTGGATATATTTTACGATTGACGAAAATGTCGATCATCAACCTTTAGAACTTCACTATTATTGTACTTGCAAGTCGGGAGCTAGAACTTTAGGAACATGTGCTCATGTTGCCAGTGTATTATGGTTTTTGGGTTATGCTAGATATGAACAAAATCTAAACGGGGGAACTCATATTTGCATCTTCGGATATTTGGCTTACTAATAATATTAATACATTGTTTGTTTATATATTACATATTATTTATATTTCTTTAAACAAATAACGTTAGAATGACATAAATCCTGAATGATTAAATAAAATAAAAACATATTTATGAGCTCAGGTATAAGCGTATACATTGTGACAGGATTGTCATCACAAAGTCGATATAAAAAAACTGATCATAGTAACTTCGCAAAACTTCTATAGGGGAAAAACAAACTCAAATTAAAGACAATAAGAAAAAATTAGAGAAATTAACGGAGGAAATATTAAATTACAGGGTGATTCGCAGAAAAAATCTATTTTTGTAATTTTCTACCTTATATACCTTTTGAATCACCCTGTATTTAATTTAATAATTATATATTTTTGAAAATGATTCAATGTCGACTACTAACTTGTATTACGAAATATATAAAATTGTATTAAAAGTAACCTGCAGAGTCGATCAACTTTTTGACTCACCCTGTATAAAACATTTTTATACCTTCTTATAATAAGTCCAACTAAAGTTAATTCAGACCAAATATTAATATTTTCATATTCCCACTGTAAAGTAGAATACACAGCATCATTAATTTTTTTGGTGATTTTTGAATCACCCTGTATCAAATGTTACTTTTTCTACACAAAGCAATATTATTTGATGTTATCAGAATACTATTACAGCAAAAAATCCTTAATATATTGAGAAAATTACATTTTAATACGTTTTAAAAAATGGCCATTTTTCAACTTCATCACCCTGTATGTTGAAAACTGGCCATAGGATTGAGTTGTGCCCATGGACACTATTGTTCAGGAAGTCGATATCTTCAACATATCAAAAATTCAAGCATATTAACCGGAACCCATTTCTCCATAAGCCGGCTGCCTAGTCCTTTTGGTTTATTTTTGGACAGTCCTTTTATATATGTTAATTGATTTGAATTAAATTTGTTTTCATGTCTGTGGTACCTACATAAAAAATTTAAGATTTAATAAAAGGCTATTTCAGACAATTTTCCTAAAAATTATTTTAATTTTTTTTTATTTTACTTTTTACTTTAAAAATCGTTTTACTTTATACACCAAATTAAGCTAACTATTTTCATTTAAGTATAGTAATATTTTTTAATAAAAGTTGGTTAAATTCACTTTACTTATCCTTAAAATTAAAATATAAAAATACATATGGACCACAGCAAATTTAAAACATATTTTTGAATAGGTGACAAAAAATATAAAATTACAGTAAAAAAATTGTAATTTTCGTCAGCAATAGTCAAATATATATAGTTATAAATGTATAGGTATCTTAAAAATAATGTTTAATCATTTAATTAATTACTGTAAATCATTCTAAAGAACTTTTAAAAATTAAAATAGTAGAACCAAAATGATTAAACTTATTTTTTCAGTTATACCCACAACTAATTAAAATTATCTACAAGAATGCTGAGTAGTGGCGCAGGTATGCGAGGCAGTTGTGTGAAAGGATTCAGCAATATGATTTATATGTTTATATCTTTTTCGATAAATGAATACACAAATATATAATTTTTTACTTTCCCCTATTCACACAAATGTCTGGTTCTGAGCTTTGACATAACGCTCAGTGATTTCAAAAAATTACACAGAAAAAATTAGATAAAATTGTTAAACTGTGGATATTATTAAACTAGTATAGGTTGAGTCTGTGAAGGGACATCCCCTTTGTCTTAGGAATTAAGGATTATAGAAATCTGTCATTTGTGAATTAGAAATTTTATTATAATTAAAATACTTGAAGAACTAATTCAAAATAAGATAAGAACATACTACTAGTATATTTATGACCTGTAAAAGTCCCGTTAATTATTTGAATAAACATCAGCACGCCACTGGTAAGGATGCAATTAATTAAACAACTGAATGAATCTTATCCAATTAGTGACGTAGCCACGGGGGGGGTTTGCTGATCGCTATTCTGTTAGTTTTTATTCACTTTCTTAATGAAACCCCCCACAGTTCTCCAAAACCCCTCCCATGAAAATGGCTCGCTACGCCACTGTATCCAATAAAACTTTTTGTTACAATTGTTAATGCATTTCTTATTTTTACTTTAATATTTTCCCTTGTTAATGGGAAGATTTGATAACCAACTATTTTACCTAACGCCATCAAAATCAATCGCAAGGTGTGAAATTAGGTGAATAAGCTGGCCTGTTTCCAACCTTCGGACTCTCACTCCAGTCAACGTGCATGGGCGTCGTTACATCATTTTTCAGGAAGGGAGGAGCAAAAATCTAGTTTTTTGAATTTTTTTTTTTTTTTAGAGTATTGTTACTAGTCATTACTGACTAACCTACAATTTTAATCTAAAAATCTTACAAACTAATTACTTGTCTAAGAAGTCCCATTGGGCTGTCTTAATTGTTTCTATAGGAAAGCATCACAAGTTGACGTGACGATTTATTACACTGTTTTACACTAGCTCAAATGGCTTCTTCCTTTTGAGCCTTCTGTTGAGTCTAGAGTTGTCCAGTAATTACAACGCTTCTTCGTTGACGTGGGAGTGGAGTCGACCCTCATGTTTCGCAGCTAACCTCTTTATTTCTTATTCGATTGTTGGCATCTTCAGGTCTCTATGAAGATAATCGTTTCGGTAGAACCAAGGTGCATCAAGAATGCATCTTAGGACTTTATTTTGGAAAACTTGTATCATGTTGATATTACTCTTGCTGGCACATCCCCATAGCTGTATGCTATAAATCTAGATTGGTTCTAGGATTTGTTTATAAATCAGCAGTTTGTTGTGCACTGACAATTTGGATTTTCTTCCTAGGAGCCAATACATTTTTTTGAATTTAAGTTCAAGTTCTTTACGCTTTTTTTTATGTACTCTTTCCATTTAAGTCTTACATCTAGGTTCATCCCTAGGTATTTGGCCGAATCGTGATGCGGAATAACGTCATTGTTTATTCTTATTTGTTTTTGTTCATTTGGTCGAAGAGTTAAATCAACATTCACTGATTTAGTTTGATTTATTTTTATTTTCCACTTTTTTGTCCATCGATTGATTCTGTTGCAGGTTTCCTGAAGTTTTTCTGAGGTCTCTGTATTAGTTCCGCCAACTGCCAATATTGCAGTGTCATCCAAATGTTGCTATTTTAACAGATTGTTGTTGAGGGATATCGCTGGTGTATAATAAGTAAAGAACCGGTCCTAGTACACTGCCTTGTGGGACACCTACTTTAAATTCTTTCATTTCGGAGTATGCCTCGTCTTGCTTTACTCTAAACATTCTTCCCGTGTACTTGATCTATTGTCGAGTGTTTGTTTCTAAAACTAAATTGATGCGAAGGGATCAGAATTTTATTTTCAATTATTGGTTTTAGTCGTTTTAGTAGTAGTTTTTCAAATAACTTAGATATTATCGGTAACAATAATATAGGGCTATATGATGACACTTCATTCAGAGGTTTTCCTAGCTTAGGAATTAGGATAACTTCAGCCATTCTACACGCATCTAATATATTTTTAAGGCGAAATGCTGCATTTATGAGGTATGTCAATTTAACAATAGCCTTCCGTGGTAGTTTCTTTAATATTTCTCCAGTAATAAGGTCATATCCTGGGGCTTTCTGTGAACTGATGTTTGTCTGAATTTCTTTCATAACTTCATTGGGAGTAACTAGCTTAATTTCAAGTTGTTCCATATTATAGATGGTCTCATTAGGAGTGTCTTGATTTTCATTTCATTTTTGAACTTGACTTGAAAGTTATTAAAAATTAGAAATTCCTTTCTTATTTTTAATTATCAATACTGGGATGGTGAAGGTTTTGGAAAAATTTATTTAGATAAAATCAACGGGGTTGAAATTGTTATGGATGGATTTTCTTTTGAAAATAGAAATATTTATTGAAGAATTAGTTAAAATTAAGTTAAAATTTATTAATTTGTATGGAGAAAAAATAAAATAAAATAAAATAAAAACTTATGAAAATAGTAAAACGAATAATTTTATTTGCCAATTATAAGACAGAAACGAAGAGACAGAGTGGAGCAGAACCAGCAAAGAGAGTGTGATCGATTACAAGGATCCCAGCAGTAGAAAATGAAGAGAAGAAAGAACTTTAATTTCTTTTATTTAGGATGTGTATGAATTTTTTTTAGAAAATTCGACGCGTCCCAGATTAGTTGAAAATTCCAAAATTTAAGAAAATTTCGACGTCAATACATTAAAAATACATACAAAAAAATAAATAAAAAACGGGTATATTTTTTTAGAATCATTTTTTTTTTCCTGAATATTTTAAACATTGCAATCAAAATTTAGGGAGAAAACTTTCTCCTTCTTTTTTCTGATAAACGACGCCCATGCCAACATATGGTGGCATTGCAGCGTTCGTGGGTATTGCAGTACCCATCTGTCTGTATCTGCAGCGTGTAAAGGGTGGAACTTAGGCCTTACTAGGCCTATTGTGCATCGTCCTAAGTAGATAGACACTTCCTAGCATCAGGTAATCGTAGAGGATGTTCTTTCATTAAAGATCCCCAATTTGAACATTATTTGAATAATTAATGACTAATTAGCATTCGTTATTTCATAAAAATTGAAAGTTTGTTATTTTAGTTAATTAGGTGTCACTAAAAACCAAATAACAAAAAAATAACACTGCATTATATCTGTATCTGTAACGTGTGGAGGGTCTATTGTGCACCTCCTAGCTCGTGAGCCAGCCTACAGATTTAATGTAGTTGACAACGTCGCCAAGAGGTATTTCTTTTATATCGGCCGGTGTTAGCCGATACTCGCCGAACACAAATCTTCTAATAAATGAGAGCGTCGAGCAATCGTAAACGATATGTTCGATGGTCTAATCTTATTGAAGAGGTTGAGTGGTGTGTACACACTGGGTAATAAGAAATGAATGTGACGTATTTAAAGTGTGTAGGTAGTTTTATTAATATTAATAAAACTCAGTAAAAGTAGTCTTAGCGCTTTCAGCCGATTAGGCCATCATCAGAGACTCTACAAAGATAAAAAAACGGAGCTATAACAATAGTCAAATCGAGATATTCCTAAACATTGAACAAGAAATAAAAAAACACAACAACTTACTTGTCAGTAAATATAGAAGGAACATGAAAATTAATTATTTAAAATTTATATATTAGATTCAAAGGGCTGCCACAATACGGTCCCTGGTTCTCAACCATAACTTGAGGCTTGAAACGAAGCAAAACCAATCCTAACAGGTGGTTGAAAATTGAAAAGAAACGTGGGGGCTCATCCCAACACGTGTAAATAAACTGTCTCAACCTTTCCACGGAAGAGAGAAGGAAAAAACTGAACTTCGGCTTGAAGTCAGCTGCCCTTTCAAAATAGCTACCGTGAGGCGGAGGCAAGTTGGGGCATAGGTAATCGTAAGAAGTAGAATGCAATAATAATGACGAAAAGGTAACCATCTTGACTTTAACAGTGCCAAAAAAGAACTGAGTGACAATTGACAGTTGACAATGAAGTTGTCAAAACAATTGCCAACTTGAGAAAAACAAATAAATTTCATGAAAATTGATCAAAGAAAAACCGAGAGAAGACTCAATTTAAGAGCCAGTGAACACATTAGATATCCTGATAAGTCCACTTTTGGACATCATATTAAATTCAATAATCACAATTTCACTCCTTCTGAGAATGTCACTGTCCTTCATAATATTTTCAATTGTAACTTTAAATTAAATCTGCTCGAAGATCTTGAGATACACCGAGAGTTTAATAAAACTAATGTCACCTGTGTTAACACGCAAATCCATCTCAATAGCAAAGTGCCTCCTCTCTTTAAGAGTATTGGCAACGGTTGGTCTGAAGTTACCTAGCTAGCTTCTCCTTGAATCTTCTTACAGCAGAGTTGATCTTGTCTTCTCCGGTGATATCTGATTTCGTGGTCAGGACGGTTTTTCCTCCTCTTTTAGTTGGAAAAGTTGGTCTGCCTGCGACTTCGGTTTCCCTGGGGTCGGCAGGCTCAATTCTGTTGTGCTAGTCAGGCACCTTCTTAATTTCAATAATTTTATATCAAAATATTTTTTACCTTCACTCAATGTATATTTTATAATTCTACTTATTTATTGTAACGTTTGGTTAATTTTTTAAAAATAATTTAAAATTTAAAATTCCCTCCATAACTTGTGCTTGCTACTTCAGTGGTTCCAACCCACTTTTATCTTTTAAAATTAACTTTGATCAATTTTCATGAAATTTATTTGTTTTTCTCAAGTTGGCAATTGTTTTGACAACTTCATTGTCAACTGTCAATTGTCACTCAGTTCTTTTTTGGCACTGTTAAAGTCAAGATGGTTACCTTTTCGTCATTATTATTGCATTCTACTTCTTACGATTACCTATGCCCCAACTTGCCTCCGCCTCACGGTAGCTATTTTGAAAGGGCAGCTGACTTCAAGCCGAAGTTCAGTTTTTTCCTTCTCTCTTCCGTGGAAAGGTTGAGACAGTTTATTTACACGTGTTGGGATGAGCCCCCACGTTTCTTTTCAATTTTCAACCACCTGTTAGGATTGGTTTTGCTTCGTTTCAAGCCTCAAGTTATGGTTGAGAACCAGGGACCGTATTGTGGCAGCCCTTTGAATCTAATATATAAATTTTAAATAATTAATTTTCATGTTCCTTCTATATTTACTGACAAGTAAGTTGTTGTGTTTTTTTATTTCTTGTTCAATGTTTAGGAATATCTCGATTTGACTATTGTTATAGCTCCGTTTTTTTATCTTTGTAGAGTCTCTGATGATGGCCTAATCGGCTGAAAGCGCTAAGACTACTTTTACTGAGTTTTATTAATATTAATAAAACTACCTACACACTTTAAATACGTCACATTCATTTCTTTTTTTCCTTCTAATCTTATTGTTCGCACCCTCTGCAAAGTACGGATTCTGACAGCCCCATGATATGGAGATCTCCAATATTTACCCTAACACTGCTCTGCAAATTCCTTTTACGTCAAAAATTAGGTTCAATAACTAATAATTTCTATTCTAATAGCACTTTATATTTTAGAACATTCCAAATAGTTTCATGTAATTTATATCTCATAACAGAAATAACGTCACATCATCAGTGTTTATAGTGAACCAATTAAAAAATTTTCCAATTCCAAGATGCTGCTTCAAATAATAAAATGACATTTCACAGCACATAACCTCAAAAACTATTAATTAATATTATTAGGCATTCCAAATAAAATGGCTACCCGTTTGAAATGACAGGCCACTGACAGGTACATGATAGGTTATAATATGGCAACACTGTGAGTCTGGCGGTTTGATAGGGTCAATGATATAGACAGTTATATAGATTAAACATCTGTGGTTTAAAAAATGAATATAAGCTTATGCCTTGAAGTAAAAATGTAGGCAATGATATTTTTTAAATATTCAAAGGCTGAAAATTGGTTTTAAAATACATTTTTGCTAAACCGATTCAAATTAGCCAGGCAATATGGCCGCTCGCAAACAACCCGCTTTGAACAATCTATATAACTATATAGGTATCATTGACCCTGTTAATGACAACATGTCCACAGGGTTGCCATATCTAAACTGTCAGATCCCACTGGTAGCCATTTGGACAGGTCGTTGGAATGCCTAATACGTGTCAACTTTAAATAGCCATCTTGGATTTAGAAAGAAATTTAACGGCTTAATTAGTACTTTTAAACATAATTTATAATTACAAAATGACAGATGTCTATAATTCTTAATTCCTAAGATACAGGGGATGTGTCATCATATACTAACCTTGAAATTTATCTCCGTTTAACAGGGTTGATAATTGATATAAATCTAAAATTTATTAGGCACTATTTTTTCTGTCTAAAGCGATATTACAGGTAAAGCTTGAAACTGAAGAAAGGAAAGATAGCGAGGAGAGAGAGTGAGAGAGAGCAGAGAAAGAACTTCAAAAAAATTGAACCTACCAATCGTCGATTCGACTTTTCTTCAGTGGTGTGCACGGGATTTCGAACCCCATTATACCCAGGATAGTAGTTCTTGTAGTAATCGGGAACACCCCCGTGGCCCGGCTCTGCCGCCACTGGAACGCAAAATAGGGGGTTATTTTATTGAAATAAATATTTATTTACTTAGATTTAACAAATAGAAACCGGCTAAAAAAATTTTGAATAATTTTGATATTTTGGTAGCAGCTTTGCCTCGCACATCGGGGGTGTTTTTTGTTTTAAGTCTTCAGTGATGTTGAGACCGAACGATATAGGTTTCTGGATCAAGGTTTTTATTTTACCAAAGAGACTCATGATTATCAAATATCATTTTTATTGCAAAATAATTTAAATTTAAAAAATTTGAGCGATATTTACTACGAAACAAAACTTTTTTTGCAATAAATAAAAGATAAACCACTGGTTCCTTTGGAAAAAATATCAAATTAATTCTAAACAATAAAGAAAATTACGCACTTTAAAACAAAAAATTATAGGATTATTTGTATTTTGATACACTCTCATTTGCGTCTTCTTGTGCTATAATTTCTTGTAATAAATTATTCATCCTCATTGATTCATAATTCGTGAGTCAACTGTTTATTAATCAAAATATAAACAATAACAAAGCATTGGCATTTTTATGAAGAAGAAAAACACAATAGGAATCGTTTCTTTTTAGGAATGTACGGGGAATATACAAATTTGTTCTTCGTTTTTTTTTTTTGAAAAAAATTAAATTAATTTCCCTACATATTATTCATGGTAATCTTTCATATTTTTGGTATCTAATTCAGATAAATGTTAAGCCATTATCCTTAAAACCTCAAAAGGAAATAGATACCTACTAATACAAAGTGATTTTGTAAAAAGTACCTTAAATATGTCAGAATATAGAATTGTCATAAAAAATCCTCAAACACATCTTTCTATCGTATCCTGAATTGTAATAGTCATTCCCCTCTCCTCTGTAACTCTAACCAATAAGATTTTAATAAGGAAAGTACCAAGATTGACATATGACAGTTAAAAATATAATAAACATAAAAGTTAACGTGTTTTGAAAATTTTTATGACAGTTCTATCCCTGTATATTAATTTTTATTTACTAGACGGTAAAAAATAACCTTTCAAGACATTAATTTACTTTGTTATTGTTTAAAAAAGCTTTATTAATTTTACTAAAAGTACTACCTAATTTTTTGTTTTAAATTGCGTAATATTTCTGTAACATTGTACCTACTGTATTACAATATACTAGCAGAAAAATAGGTAGTCTTAATGTCAATTTAATCCCAGGTATCTCAGGAATATAGTTAATATAAAATTCATTAGATAGTGCATGCTTTTAAAATATCACCAAATTTATAAATTTGAAAAATAATTGTTTCCCAACGGGAACGTACCTTATCCCCACCAATATCGTTCGGTCACTAGTAAGAAGCGTATGATTTGATGAGTAGTTAAGACATTAAAAAAATTAAAAAAAGGTTATTCAAAAAATAAAAAAGTACCAATCTACGAGGCTGCTTGACAAGAGGCCGGTTCATGCCGTTCATCTTGTGGTAGAGGCCGCACGCATTGCAGAGATAGTGACCGGTGCCGTCTCTGCGCCACAAGGGGGTGTCAATTGCACCGCAATTGACGCACTCTCTACCTTCCGTGAAGAATTCCGCTGTGCGTGGATCAACTGCAGCCAAAACATCAAGCTGAGTTAGTTTATAGGCTAAGGTTTAATTAAAAAATGTTTTTTGTTTAACCTATTTGTTTTTTACCTACCAATAAAAACATTTTCTTTAATAAAATAGCATTTTCTAAATAAAATAGCATTTTCTTAATACAATAGCATTTTTATAATACTAGAGCATTTTCTAAAAAATAGCATTTTCTGAATAAAATATCATTTTTACTTTAAAAAAAGTATTTTGAATAAAAAATAACATTCTTAATAAAAAAATAGCATTTTCACCAATAAAAATTACATTTTCTTAATAAAATAGCATTTTTTAAATAAAATAGAGTATTCGCAATAAATGAATGTAATAGAAATATTTTTTTTTTAATAAAATAGCATTCTTTATTAAACATTTACTTTAATAAAATAGCATTTTCTGGATAAAATAGCATTTTCTTAATGCAATAGCATTTTTATAATACAATAGCATTTTTTAAAAAATAGTATTTTCCTGATAAAATAGCATTTTCTGAATAAAATAGCACTTTCCTAATAAAATAGCACTTTCCTAATAAAATCGCATTTTCCTAATAAAATAGCATTTTTAAAGAAAAATAGCATTTTCCTGATAAAATAACATTTTCTTGATAAAATAGCATTTTCTGAACAAAATAGCATTTTTACTTTAAAAAAAATATTTTGAATAAAAAATAACATTCTTATCAATAAAAATTACATTTTCTAATAAAATAGCATTTTCTCAATAAAATAGCATTTTCATAATAGAATAACATTTTCAAAGAAAAATAGCATTTTCCTGATAAAATAGTATTTTCCAGATAAAATAGAATTTTCCTGATAAAATAGCATTTTCTTGATAAAATAGGATTTTCCTGATAAAATAGCATTTTCCTGATAAAATGGCATTTTCCTGATGAAATAGCATTTTCTAATTAAAACAGCATTTTACTTTAAAAAAAGTATTTTGAATAAAAAAAATAACTTCTTACCAATAAAAATTACATTTTCTAATAAAATAGCATTTTCTCAATAAAATAGCGTATTCGCAATTAAATGAATGTATAAAAAGTGTAGTAAATTTCCCTTATCTACTTCATAGAAATAATTTTTTTTTAATAAAATAGCATTTTTTTAATAAAACATTTTCTTTAATAAAATAGCATTTTCTGAATAAAATAGCATTTTTTTTAATACAATAGCATTTTTATAATAGTAATAGCATTTTCTAAGAATAATAGAATTTTTCTGATAAAATAGTATTTTCCTGATAAAATAGCATTTTCTGGATAAAATAACATTTTCTGAATAAAATAACATTTTCTGAATAAAATAGCATTTTTAGTTTAAAAAAACAGTATTTTGAATAAAAAATAACATTCTTAATAACAAAATAGCATTTTCACCAATAAAAATTATATTTTCTTAATAAAATACCGTTTTCTCAATAAAAAAGAGTATTCGTAATAAATGAATGTATAAAAAGTTTAGTAAATTTAACCTACCTACTTCATATAAAATAACATTTTTTAATAAACCAACATTTTCTTTAATAAAATATCATTTTCTGAATAAAATAGCATTTTCTTAATAAAATAGCTTTCTCAAAATACAATAGGATTTTCATAATACAATAGCATTTTTTAAAGAAAAATAGCATTTTCCTGATAAAATAGCATTTTCTGAATAAAATAGCATTTTTAATAAATAAAACAAACAACATTCTTAATAAAAAAAAAATACCATTTTCACCAATAAAAATTACATTTTCTTAATAAAAGCATTTTCTCAATAAAATAGAGCATTCACAATAAATGAATGTATAAACAGCAGTGGCGGCTCGTGGGCACTAGCGGCAGTGGGACACATACTGGAAAGAAATCCCGGGATTCGTTCTTCCCTTAGGAAAACAAGTTCTCCGCTTAATGAAAATTAAACATATTTCAAAACAATCAGTTGGGGCAATAACGATTTCTGAATGTGACTACAGGGAGCTAAATGTGACCACTCAAAATGCATTTAACTATGTATGTGGCTATTTAATCAAAAAATCATTACATATCCACTCTTGCGAAAATTGCGTAAATTTCTCAAAAGAATGCAATTTACTTAACAATTCTAACTTGTTAACGCATTTTAAAGCATACGACTCTGAAGAAAAGGTGTTTAGCAATTTAAAATCTCTCAGCGAAAAATTTCTCTTTTATATTTTCAAATTAGAAAAAATATTTATATCTCTATTTGATAGTTTGTCAACTAAGCCTGGAATTTCCAACGCATACCTTTTTGAGATGAGCAAAATAGAATTTGGTCACTTGCAACAATTTGCGAAAATGTACACCATTAAATTATTTATAAGACTCAGAATTTTTTATACTCTTAAATATGCAAACAGAGATTTGAAATCCCCGAAAAAGTCAGACAAAACCAATTTATAAATATTATTGATTTTTTTTTCATCATATTTTTGACTGCTTTATAAAAAAAAAGTTATTTTTCTGTGTAGTTTTATTTCTTAACTATTCCAATGGTCTAACTAACGTTTTTTCGTAATCACAATAAATAAATTATTATCATGGTCCAACAAACGCGCACCTTAAGCCGAAACCTGCATCGCCTTTGTGAGGGAGCCGGTAAAGATGCCGCTGCGTACATTCGTATCTGGTCTAGGTAATCTGTGCCATGGGTACAGCACGTCATGAAGAGGATAGCGCCCCGCTTGTGACGTATAATCCATCGCATGTGTTCATCTCTTGCTAAGCGATATTGTCGTTGTCCTTGTTTTTTGCATCATAATGAGAGAGAAAACAACAGAGGCACACATTTACTGTGCCCTGTGCCGCCCATCTTCCACTTAATTTCGGAATTCTCGGAACGTCGCTCAACGCCCGGCCGTCCAGTGTCGTGCCAACGCGGTTTGCGCTGAATATTAGATAAAATAATAATAGGCATTGAGGAAAATATAAAATATGTAAGGCACGCGCCCAAGTGCCCTTACGGGCAAACCGCCACTGATAAACAGTTTAGTAAATTTAACAGGTTTGCAATTTTTTCATCCATTTGAAAAAAAATTCAAATTGTAAATCCTCATTGGATGAACATAATAAAGTTAAATCCTACGATGTAAAGATAAAAAGTGTCAATTTATGATATAGTCGTTTCCTTAAATTTATCTGTGAAAAGATTTAGAAACGTCACAAAAAGTATAATTTTTCTCTTGCACACATTATCATCCAAATTTCATTTATGGTAACATAGGCTAACTCAGAAGGCTGAACAAGCATTGGAAAGCAAATAGACAGCACTAGGAGTTTTCCTAGACATATAAGGAGGGCATACGCAGTGGGCTGACTTCATGCCTAATTATAGAACCATTACCAGTAATCTCTTTAGCATAACAAG